GCTATAGGCGCCGAGCCAAGAATTATTTTTGTATATTACTTTCTGGCTGTGTATTGTTTTGTCTCCTAGAAGACTACTGTTAACCTCTCTCTTCATTATTATGTTTTTACAGATGCTTATCATTCCTACCCCTCACAGATTCTTTTCCCTAATCTTAGTAAACACCTCAGTAAAATTTGAAAAAGTTTTATTTCTCACTATGCATTTGTTTTGTTTGTTTTATTGAGAAATAGTTCAAAATAACCATATGCTATTTTTAAACATCACCTTTCTGGATCTGCTATCACTCCATACCTTAATCCAGTATTTTTAAGTATTGAGTCTATTTCCATGAAGTATCTGGGATGCTTAATTAATTTCAAATAGTTTTATTTGTATAATGTCTTATAAAAGATTAAGAAATTGCATTTCTGCTTGTATATGTATATCATTTTATCAATATCCATAATTATTTCATTTGAATATTTCATTAATTTATTTAACATCCATTGTGTAAGACTATTTGTTTCTTTCAGTTTCTCCTTTTGTTATTTCTCTTTTCTGGCTATTCAAACTACTGTTTTCAGAAAATTATTTTCCACTTATAGTGTATTAATTACTACTATTTTGAACATTTCAATTATGCTAGACATCCATGCCATATTTAAATGTCTCATAGTTACTTTGGCTATCTAGAACTTACAATAACTCTGTGCCACAGACATGAAAAATAAGCTGATTTTTGAGAAACATCTCTAACCTTCTTTCATTGGACATCAGCTCCAAGTTTCAGTTCTACAAAAGGCATTACATTGCACTATTCTATTGCTTTGGAATGAAACTGAAAACTGAAGAAATAATAATAATAATCAAAACTAAAGAAACAGACATGAGAATTATATGTATTCCATTTGTTCTATAGTTAATTTCTTTTTATCCTCAAAGTTGACATCACAAACTTAGGCTTATTTAAGGTAGCTTCGACCAAAAAAGTAAAAGATTTAATACCAATTAAAAGGCTACTTGAAAATGTATAGCCAAGCTCAGATTCATTTAACATAGAGGTGAAGCAGAATAATCTTGATAATGAACTCCACACTCTGTTTCACTTTGCTCTGTTGACACAGTCTCTAAACAAGGAAGTATCATGAAGTTTATTTTAAAGTCTCTTAAAGTTCAATGAAGTATCTAGTAAATAAGTTACGACTAAGCTATTCAAAATGAATTAAAAATTACCTCAGACCTGTTTTTTCTCATAATACCTATTCCACTGAGATATTCTGAGACATTTTTGAAACTATGGCATTATAAGTCATATAAATAAATATGAAATCATATATATTACAATTCATAAAGACACATATATAGCACAAATGTGTGTCTGTGTATTACACATATAGATACATAGATCATCTTCCCGTTCCTACTACAACTCTTCCAATTATCATAATTAAAAACTGTTACTTTATAGAAGTTATTGCTTTGGGATACTTAACATCTCCTACACAGACTTGTTTAGATCCACACCTGCCCAAATGAGTATAATTGTGTAGCCCTGAAAAAGCCCAGGAACATCTGCTAATATATTGCCTAGTGTTCTTTCTGCTATGAACATAGTTATATTTTCTTACCTTAAGAAGCCAATAAAATAGATACTGCTAAAATGTAAACAGAAATTAACACTCATAAAATAGCATATAGGAGGCAATGAAATGTTAAATCATGTTCCAGTTTAGTAAAGATCTGAGAATATTAAGCTGGAAGAAGAAATTGCTTTGGCTATACCACGAACTAAAACAGTGATTTCTACATCTTGATTTAAATAAGACATCAATAGATCATTTCAGATACATTTTACCCAAATTATAACAAATCAAAGCTTGACTATTCTAATATCCTAATACCTAGTTATACATAATGAAATCATAATTATAAACAAGCCACCTATACCAAAGTAAAACAAGTACTGATTAGACTTGTCTTCCTATTTTAAAGTACAGTTTATTAACCTGCCAGTTTAGTTACCTACCAGCAATGATTGGATTTTATCAGTGTTATCACCTCTATAAACAGCACCAAATTATAATCCCTCTTCTCATAACAAAGCACCATGCCATGAGAGACAAACAGAGTGAATGATCCGATCCTGAGTAATGAATAGTTTGGGCTGGTTGGAATCCACTGAGTTGAGGAAAGAGAAAAGAGAAGTGGCTCATTAGGGCATTTCCTGAACCCGAGTTGGAATTTCAGTTAAGGAAGAAGAAATGACACAGCAGTTTCAGTAAAGGCCACTTCCTTTCTTTATCTGAAAAATGCCACTAATTTGAGACATGACACTCCAACAAACTACTCCACAGCAGTGTGGCCGCAGTAAAAGCTTTTGTTGGTCCCATTATTGCCCCATAATTAACATTTCTTCCCACAATACACACAGCAGTATTTGGTTGTTATCAGAATGGACTAAGATCCCAGGTTTATTGCAACATGTTATGCTTCACCATTAACATTTCTTCAACAAACTGACCTACGCCGTTTTTCAGGTTTTGAGAGCTGCATTTTTGTTTGGAGTATTAATAGATTTTTGAATTCTTGCTTAAGTTCATCGAGCTTCTCATATTTCATATAACCACATTTTTCTCAGGTATGATTTTCTCTTATACTGATTCCAGGATAAGTTTCACTTGTTCAAGAATGTTTTATCTTCCAGGTAGGTGGAAAACACATAATTCAACCTTGGAGATTTCTAATTATTATTATTTATGTCCCACTTTGGTCTGTAATTTTATGGGACAGGAAAACTGGTTACTCACTGCCTTTAAAAAGAAATGACTTGAGAGGTCTTCTCACATGTGTTAGTTATCTGCAGAAACGTAACATCAGAAGTAAGATTTTCTTCCTATTTGTGATTTGTGCTGTGACACTCTGTATTCATTTATAGTCATTACAACATTTGTTTATTTTACCTATATATTTTTGAAATATACAAAGAAAGGCATTCATGGAAGCTACTGAAGTTTCATGTGAAGTTTACATTCTAATTTCTCTTGCCTTTGTGTTTTAAAATTATGCGATTAAATTGACATTTGTGTTTGTCAAGGACTAGAGATTATGCCAAAAATATCAGCACTTTATTATAGTATCTTGTGTTAAGAACTTCAAAACCATTAAATTTAAAAAAATTTCCTTCATTAACAATACCAAATAGCTGAGTTACCTTATTTTTTGTTACATTATCATAAATCTAAATGTCCTAAGATGATTGAGGGTAGCAAATACTTTATTGTAAAATTGAAAAACATATCCAGAATCTACCTGTCTTACCCAGCTTCCAGTACTACAGTACTATTATCCAGGTTAAAGGTAATCTGTACAGCCCCTATGGCCCTGGTCTTGATCTCCACAGGAAGGAACCAGGCTTGTTGCAGATTAGAAGTACGAGCTTGCAGGAGGCAGGCTAACCTTGATTGCAGGGTAGCCCGGAGCAACCTCCACAGTAGCCTTTTATTGAGACAGTACAAGACAGGTGAGGGGAGTATTAGACGATGACTACGTGCCTAAGGATCGCCATGGGTTTGGGCTCTTTCTCTACAACAAGCCCCTTCGGAGGAATTGCCCAAGAGTCCGCCCCACAGCTGCAAGTCATGTTGCTCAGAGGTTGTCTGGCTCTTGGTGTCCTCTACAGTAATCCTCTCTCACCCAGGTTGCTGCAAAGACCTTCTAATTGCTTTCTCTCTCCTACTATGAGAGAGAGAGAGAGATTTATTTCAAAAAGCAACTGAAGTTCTTTTTAACTCCAAAGCTGGTCATGTAGCTTTCTTGTTCTAAATTCATAGCATCCCCCACACCCAGAATAAAAACCAGTCATTCCAATTCCTTAAAAAGGTTTCAAAGGTTCTGGGACTACACATTTCTAAGTCCTTGTGAAATATCCACTTGCCACGAAGTCATTCTAACCAGCCTAACACTGCACCTTTCTCTCATCCTCTCCTTCTACCCCCACTGGCACTCTGTGTTCTCCCTACCTTATTTCCGTAGACCCCATTACCTATTAGATTTACTGTTTAATTATTATTTTCACTGGACAGAAGGCTTCTCAAAGACTAGGATCCCTGTTTGCTTTTAAACATATTCTAAGTGCTCAGAGCAGCATGGTAAATAGGTGTCATTCCATGTAAGTTTGATGAATAAATGGCTGAGGGCATGACCCATGGTAGCTTCTTAACTCATCTGGCTGATCTATCTCCTGCCAAGTCATTTCCTGCCCCCACCTTGCTATAACTGTATCTTTCTAAACCATACATTTAATCATTTTATTTTGTTTATTTATAAGCATGAGAACATTCCTCCTGCTTAAACTTTGATTCCAAATTCTCTAGAACAGCTTGTAAAAGTCTTCACAACTAAATCTCAGTCTAGATTTCAGGCTTCATCATAATACCTCCTAACTCCTCATGCTTAGAATGTCCTGCTACAGGAATCCCCTCTTTTCCAAGTCTAGATCATATTTGACTTCCTGTCTTATAATTTTCCTTATAAGATATAGAATTATCTTAGTTAATAGCTCTAGAGTGTATGTATGAAATGAAGACACTTTACACATCTTTCTTTCTTTCTTCTTTTTTTCTGTCTCACTTTGTTACCTTTGGTAGAGTGCCACATGGCGTCATAGCTCACAGCAACCTCAAACTCTTGGGCTTAAGTGATTCTCTTGCCTCAGCCTCCCAAGTAGCTGGGACTACAGACACCTGCCACAACACCTGCCTACTGTACACGTATTTCTATTGTAAGCATTAATGTTAACACAGTTTAATCCCCCTTCCAAATATTCTAAATTCAATGTAATATCCACCAAAAGTCTAGCTGCATCCTGCGGGGTACCTTTATTAATATTTACTAAGAATGATAAATGAAAAAACAGAGTCAAATATTTTGAAAATAAAAAAAAGAGACGAATGGCTTGAGCAATGAGGTATTAAACACACCATATGACTATAACAATTAAAACAGCTTATTACTGGTATATAGTAAACAGAAAGCTCAACCCTCTTGCACTTTAGTATATCTGGAAGGTTACATTTTACATTCATAATAAATAGATATATTTATTTCCCAATAAATACTTTCAGAGCAAATACCTAAAAATCTGTTGAGAGAGACAGAACGAAGATGAAAAAGAAAGAGAGACCTATACCTCTACTGTAACAAAAATTTGATTTAAAGTATCTTAAATATTTAAATACAAACATTGCTCAGAAAAATATGTTAGTGACTATCTCGTAACGCATAAAGTGGAGGAAAATTCACCAAAGTAAAATTTTAGCTACACAGATATTAAACCTTTCTAAGAAAAGAATTATTTTTGAATTTGAAAACACCTAAAATTGGGCAAATATTTTTTCATAGCTTTAGAACATACAATATACTGATGCTCGTTGTGTTGTACTATGGATATTTTTCTTATTTGTCTTCTTAATGTGAAATGTGTTTACTGCTACATTGGATCACAACACTTTCTCCTTTGTATTAGTAGTTCTGCCTTAGTTTCATCACACTGAAAACTGTGTAAAATACATGCCTCAGATGTATCCAGGCAGAGAGAACAGGGGCCGGGGTATTTATACTTCCTAATACCTATCCATTATTGGATTTAGACTGCCTCCAGGGGAAAATTTCTTCCCAGGCACACCCCGCCCACGTTACACAGGGAAAAATAATTTGCATTATGCTAAAAATAGCCCTTCAACAAAACTTAAAGTGCTCACCTTTGGAAGAAAAGCCATAATTCACCTAAAGAGTACGAGAGACAGGAATGTGGACCGAACACCACCGGCATCTGCTCCACTTACTTAGAATTTGTCCTGTCATACAGTACGTCGTATATATTAAATTCTCATCCTTAAGATTTTTACATTAACCTTCCCTTAAAAATTGTTACCACATTTATTTACTCATTGATTTTAAATGTCTGTCAGGTATCTGGCATTAGGTAAACAAAGACAAAGAGCTCTAGTCTTTATTCTCAAGATCAAAGTCTAATAGATTTTTATAGATAAATTATGCCCATGGTTGAAATTAATTCATGAAAAATTATTTTAATGCAATAATTTATGATATAGGAGACAGAAACTAATGTTGGAATAAATAATTAGTTTTCTCACATCTGACTTTTGAAAAGGCACAGAATATTGAAATGAGAAATGCCATAAAAGTAGAGATCGTCTCATCTCCAAAATCAAACACACTTTTGGCCACTAAGGTAACAATTGATAACAGGTAATGTTTAAGTTCAAAATACCAACAAATCATGCAGGAAAATAATTGCTGCTTGCCAAATGGAAGCTAATGTACCTTTGGAAATGGACTCAGTCGATCTATAAGTGTGTAAAAAGCAGATGAGAGCTCATGTTAGCCCTTCAAGAAAAGGAAAAATAATACATTCCTTGTTACTTTAGATGGCTTTCATAGAAGTCACAAAAATAAAACGATATTGGTAAGAATCCTTTTAACAGCAGTTAATTGTGTACATGGGATGTTGAGAGTTCATAATAATGCCTTTTTTTTTCTTACCAACAAGTAGCCTAGGTAAAGACAATCATTAATTTTTGAAAAACTTCCAATCTGTTACAATGAAGAAACCTAACTTCCCTCTTACATAGCTAACTCAAAGGGAAAGATACATCTCTAGAGAAATTTAGAAAAAATTCCAAGTCAATATTATCATAGAAAACAAGCAAATAAAATCAGGTATGTGTATACAGAACTGAAATTTTTTATGTTACTCATGAATAGAAATTATACTTTAAGGGAAATATCATAATTAAGTCCCTTGGCAAAAATCTGGCATTGATTATTCAAAAGCCTGATTTCATTACCAGTTTTGAACACGGTAGAAGAAATTAGAAAGTTAAAGTTTTCGGGTTTTATATGATAATACCAGATTTGGCTGGATAATACTTTTCAGACAAACATTAAATGTCAAAAGTTGACCTTGGCTTGCCAATATCACTTAAGAACTATACAGCACCAAACACACAGGAGTTCATCCCTCTGAAAAAGCAAAATTGAATCTTACCTAGAGTTTTACTATTTCACTAGCATACTAGTAAGTATAGTATTTATAAACTTTTAAAATACCTTTAAAAACCACACAAAAGCTTCAC